TGGGTGAAGAATACCTAGTAGCTGCGAGAAGACTGTTGGCTTCTGTTACCTCTCAAATCAGCAATTTAACTCAAAACCAAAGTGTGTCAGAGCACTGCCTGCTTCATACACATGGCAGGAAACAAAAAGACTCCTGTCTCCTTTCTCTTTAACAGTAAGTGGCAGCTAATTTTTTTAAAAACTGAAGTACTCCTGCCTCTGAAAGGCAACCTACTTCATTTAGGATCCTCAAAAAGAAAAGAAAGAAAAAAGCATTCCAATAAACATGTATGCATTTAACTGGCTTACTGGCTGATTCTTAACTTAAAAGCCAAACAGTTAATGAGCTAAAGATCCATGATTAATCACTGGTCCTGGCATGAACTAGCTGTGAAGGAACCTCTTTTCTTAAGAACATAAGAATAGCCCTCCTAGGGCAGACCAGGGGCTCACCTAGCCCAGCATTCCATCCTCTAAGTGCCCACTGAAACGGAAGGCAATATTCATTTCACTTCTAACTGTCCTCCATCCTGAAGCATCCAAGGGTGATTTAACAAAACAGTGAAACCAAATACAAAAGCATAAATAACAACACAATACTTCAAAACGCTTTAAAACGAATGCTAAAACAATTAAAAACCAGAAATGGGGAGAAACTGAAATTGACAGATTTATCCATCCCTAAAGGGGCAGTACCATCACCTCTTCCTCTCCTTTGGCATCATTTCCCTCCAGCTATTGGCTGCTAGCAAAGGGGGTGTGTGGTTCCTATGTGCTTCCCCTTGCTTAGTAGCCATGATGTAGGTTTTATTCCCCCCTTGGTTGCTGCTTCAGCCTCTCCCTTGCTAAGAAGCTGCAGCTGCATCCTCTTGTTTCCCACAAACTACAATCTCAGCAGGAGGGCCCCTTCAAGGCAAGCCAAATCTTTCTCCCCACTGCTTTGCAGGCTGGGCCCTTCCGTTCTACAGGGAGAGTATTCTGATCAAAGCTCCAGACAGAAGACCCAGGGATAACCGATTCTGCATTTTGCAAACCACAGTATAACACTTTAAACATGAGCTTATATTCCCCACCATTGCAATTCTATTTAAGGCAAAAGACAGCAGGTACTATGTCTTCTGCAGAGACTGGGCCATGGTAGGACAGCCACATTGACCCATGGTACATACCACTGGCCCAGGCAGGAGAGCACCAAGTAGAATATCTTACATTCACACAGCCTTACAATTGCTCCCCCGCCCACCTCCAACTCTCGATGAGATCTAACGTATGAAATGATGCACCTCTCTTCCCCCTTCAAGCTCATCAAACGCCCTAAACCAGAATACGCTCCATATAACTTTTCTTGCTTAGGTTGGCACTAAGCAGCCAGGATTATGCACTCATGAGCTAGCCTGTATTTCATATATAAATGTTCAAATTGGGTTTTTGTTTTGTGGGACACAATACAGCACTCTAAACATGAGCTGACTTCCCCTCCCAATGTGCTTCCAATGCACTCTGTCTACAGAACAAATTGGTTATCCTCAAATAATTAAGACTAGAAGACTGCAAACATATTATTGCAAAGTGTGAACAGGTGCATTAGGATGCTTAAAGCTCCTCATAGAGAGCTACCTCTGTGATGTGACTCTCTTAACAGCTGTGGGAGGAAATAATAAAAGTTAATCAAGGGAAAGCAAAAAATTAGGACCAAGAATAGCTCCTCAGAAAGATCCAAGGTATGCTCAGATTTCAGTAACAATTTCTTCTTGCAAATAGAATGTAAGCAAGGGGAGCTTGCCAAGTTTTGCTGTAAAGCCACTATGCCTTGGAATGGCAGGGATGTATTAATGACCAGAACCCCAGAAACCCCCTGGCCATCTGCTCAAACCTTATTCTGGTACCACTTTAAATATGCGCAATTGCAACACAGAGACTTTTGTCATTCAAATATGAGGCTATATATCCCTGCTGGTGCTTCCCATCCTCCTGCATAGCCACTGGGCTTGATTCCAGGTTGCTCCTTCATTCCCCTAAGGACATTGGTGATCACCACTAGTTTCCTTCCATCTGCAGCCCTGCTTACCATATCCTGCACCAGCGTTCTCTGGCCATGATAGCTGGGTCTTATGGAAGTTGGGAGTTCAACAGGTTCCCTGCCTCTATACTAGACGTCACCAGGAAGAAGGATGGAGTGAGGGCGCCTCTATGGCTCTTGCGGTGCTCTAGGTTTGCCTAGGCAAGTGCTCTGAAGAAAACTGCTCTTGGCAATCAACTGCCAAATAATTTCCTTCAGGGATGGATCAAGATGATTTAGGGATAAAGGACCATTTTATTCACATAAATATTTTTATTTGTTTGCTGTTGCTTCAGTTTTCAGTACAGCACTTAGAGATATGTTTAATATATTAAGATTTATAGAAATTAACTAGTATCCATCACCATAAAGCCATGGTACAAAATCAACCAGAAAGTGCTGCCAGGTTTTCTCTACCTCACCTCTTGCTTCAGCCTATGCTCAATCAACTGAGCTCTGCAGCCCTTGCAGCAGCTGTCCTTAAGTCTCCAACCTCAGGGATTATTCCTGTTCTCCCACTGAACTATCACATGGACTCTCTCTGTCTCAATCTGGAGGTAGCTTAGTGTGAACACAGGAGTGTGCCAACTCCCTGAAAGCAGCTCACAGCCACCTAGATCCTACCTGGTCCTTTTTTACTGCCACACAAGACTAAGCTAAACCAAGGCTTGGCTTAGCAAGCTGTCCAAGCCCAGGTTTGTGGTTTAGTTCTCCTAAACTACCATGAGCCATAAAGCAAGAACAAACCTTGCCTAGCAGCAAAAAGGACCATGAAGAAAAAGTGGCTGTGAGCTCCTTTCAGGAAGTTGGTGCACTCACACTTTAGCACTAAGCCATGAGTGGCACGTGAACCAGGTCACTGTTACAAAGCCCTGCCCTCAGTTTAATGGGAGGATTTACAGATTCCAGAATGACTTCCACCATTGCAGAAGAACTCTGTGACTTCCTGCCCACAGCTAGTTCCACCCTGAAGTCTAGACCATAATCAATCCAATCCTCTTGAGTCCATGGCCCAGCCTTGTAATACTGGATCCTCCCACCCAAACAGGAATGTTCACTGGGAGTTTTAGTTCTTCAAGTGGCCTCTGCAACAGTCACATGTGCAAAGGATTACACAGAAGCCATAGCAATCTCTCACTTTGTTTTCTGGAACCCACACAAAGCCAGGCTGCTCTCCTGTAAACATTCCTCAGAGAAAAGAGAAGGGGCACCCACAGTACTCACTCTCAACTATGGTCCTGCGTCCACTACCATCATCATTGATTTGCTGAATGTTGCCAAAGTGAATGTCGCTGAAGAAGATGCGGTTGCTGCCCTTGCTGCCATGGTGATAGTCAAAGGCCAAGGCAATGACGTTCTTCATGTGCTCGCCATCTTCAAACGGCTTGATGGGTGCATTGAGGTTGTTCTCATCTGACAAGTGGATACTCTTGAGAATGGTGCGTTCTGAGTATAGCAGGTAGCCATCGTAGTCGCGGCAGCTCACACTGTCTTCAGAGAGCATGCCATGGGCACACGCGCATGTCCGCTGGCCTCCTCCCCGGTACAGGCACAATTGCTCACAACCACCATTATTCTGGGCACACACATTAGTACCTGCAGAAGAGAGGAAGCATCCAGTTGCTTTTCAACCTGCTCCTATTAGCATGGATGGCCTAAATAACCATGAGGTGAATTGAATACCCCCACCCCCTCTATTGCTTGCTGTACTGCCAGTGCTGGGCCTCCCTCTTCACGCACCCTTCTGCCTGGCTCTGTTGAAGACCTTGATGTCCTTCAGCTGCACTCCTATTCCTGTGCGAAGAGACACGATATCTGAAGCATTGTCCTTGCTGCCCCTCTTGATGGATCCATTTGCATGAGTCCTAGAAAGAGGCACAGTCAAGTGTGTGAGTATGAGATGTACCCACAAAGTATTAGCACAGCTGCCTCATGGCTATGTGCAGAAAGGAAGCATTGATAGGTTATGAAAATGAGACAATAACCTTCAACATATGCACACTCTTAATTATGCAGGTTGTTAGAGTATACCCACCCACCTTGCACCCAAATATTCATGGATTATCCAAGCACACACTTCTCCCCTGATTAACACACAACTGACTCATGCACAATGCATATATACGGTATGTATGTGAATACACACACACATACGGCTCAGCGCTGCTTCGGAATTAGGACTATCATTGATATGACCACTTCAAAAGATTAAACTTTATTCCAGTATACAACCAGGTTCCAACAAAGGAAACACAGAGCTGTATCCAACCATACCTAGAGTAGACCCATAGGCTTCAGTAACCAACGTCCACTGATTTCAATGGGCCTTCTCTGAATACAACTTAGTCAGATACTACCCAAATTATCCAGCCATAATGAACGCATGCACCATCTGAAAGGGAACAGAGCAATGTGGCTGTTGCAAAATCCTTTCAAGCATGACTCTGGACTCTCTCTGCTCCAACAGCCTTGGTAGCACTGAGGCACAAACCTGTCACTCCAGTAGACGTAATCCTCAAAGACCGATACTGAGAACATGTCCATGTTATTATGAGGCAGGACCACCTCTCTCTTGTCCCCTGTCTCCAGGTCTATGCGTTCAATCTTGTCTGTCCGGGCATCACACCAATAAAGCTTCCCATCCTGGGGAGAGAGAGGAGGATACATGCCATCCATGTGGGTTACACGTCTGACTCACTGGAATGTTTAAGGGTTGTTTGCTAATGTGAATGTGGGACGGTGTGACTCCATGTGGGACAATCATTTTCTACTAGAAATCATCCTAACCGGAGAGTGATGTACAATTATCTCTGAAGGCCCAACTTTAATTAGAATAAGAATGTGTATGCTGCCCATCTGACTGGGTTGCCCCAACCACTCTAGGCAGCTCCCAGCAGAATATTAAATACACCATAAAACATCAAAAATTAAAAACTTCCCTAAAGATGCTACAATTGCAGAAGCCTGGATAGCTTAGTTAGTTAGAGCATGGTGCTGATAATGCCAAGGTTGCAGGTGTGATCCCTGTATGGGACAGCTGCATATTCCTGCATTGCAGGGGCTTGGACTACATGATCCGCAGGGTCCCTTCCAACTCTACAATTCTATGGTTTCCATGAATTGGATCACTCAACCTTTTCTTTGTTTCTTTCACCTGTTCGTTTTTACTGGCATGCATCCACTGGGAGCTGCTGTCTGCCTCCAAAGGGGAACTGTGTAACCATAATGTCTGCTGAACTCTCAGGAATCAGAGCTTGGACTAAGCAGGACTTCCAGCGGAAGGGCTTCAGTGCACTACATCCCTCCTCACCTCACCCTATGACCAGCCAACAGACTAAACTATGCAAAACAAAAGCTTTCCTGATCTGTGCAAGTTTCAGAGAGCTGTCTTCCACAAATTCAGTTATTTTGATGTAGGATATATTTTCTCAAAATGCAGGGAGTCCTGCTTTGTTTTCACTCTGGAGGTGCAAAGATACATGGACCACCCCTGGCATAACTCTGGAGCCTGAGTGAGCCCTCTTGTGCACTCCTGAAACCAGCACTCTTGTTTCAGAGATTTCCCACTTCTCCTGCCATTCTTCTTCTTCTCTCTTGTGAACCTCAGCCCTGAGACATACCTCATAGTCAATTGAAATCCCATTGGGCCAGCTGATGCTGGTGTTGATTAGGACCACACGCTGTGTCCCATCCAGCCAGGAGCGTTCAATACGAGGGTACTGGCCCCACTCTGTCCAAAAGAGATACCTGGAGGAGAGGAGAGAGACGTATCACATCTTCAGCCAAGCACCGTAGGTCCAGTTCACAGCTGCATGTTGTTATTACCCTATTTGTATTGTTATTCAAAAATACCCTACCCTTTCTCAGAATTCAAACCAAGGTACAGTGTCTTCTCTCACCCCCACCATTTGGCCCCACAACAACTCTGTGAGGAAAATTAGGCCAACAGATAGATTGTCTTGGATCTGGGTCTCTTTGGTTCTAGTTCAACACTCAACCATTATTCTTCAACAGCTTTCCACATTCATCATGATGGCTAGTGCTGTATGAGTGGGCTGCAACAGATCATATACAAGAAACTGAATGTCCTTCTCACCTCACCTCAGATGCAGGGTTTTCCAGCAGAGACCCAGCAGACTTGCCTTTCCCAAACTCCAGCCCTTAACACCAAGGGTGGGGAAGCTGCAACACTCCAGGTGTCCCTGGACTCCCAACTCCCATCCTCCCTGACCACTGGCCACTCTGGCTGGAGCTGAGGGAACCCATGAGCCCATCAACATCTGGAGAAACCAGATTCCTCACCCTTGCCTTAGCCTCTATTAACTCTCACAGAGAAATGGATTCTGAGCCTATTCTTATCATGAGCATTTGCCGTGTGCTCAAACCGACTACTTGGGAAAGGGCTGTAGCACAGAGCAGAAGGTCCTTGGTTTAATCCCCAACATCCCCAGGGAGGGACCCTGCCTGAAACCCTGGAGAGTCACTGCCAGGCAGTTCTGACCAAGGTGGACCAGTGGTCTGAGTCAATATAAGTCAGCTTCCTCACCACAACCAATCCTTACCCTTTCTCAGGGTGCACAGTGATGGCACGCGGCTTGTCCAGCCCCTGTGAGATCACCACATAGCGGAATGAACCATTGAGCCTGGCCACCTCAATGACATCAAAGCCTTGGTCGGTCCAGTAGATGTTTCCTGAAGAGAAAGAGGGGATTATTCAACCAGCTGTTCCTGCTCCAGACACTGCAGGAGGCTGGTATTCCCCTCCGCACCCCACCCAGCACATCCCTGTCTCTGATTGATGCTTTGATGTTAACTGCACACTGCCTTACCTGCGATCCAATCCACAGCAATGCCCTCCACCCGGCCAATGCCATTGGTCACCACATCTTCTCGCCATGTCTGGTCCCGCTTGGCCCGACTGATAGTGCTCAGGCCCATGTCCACCCAATAGATGGTGTCATTCTCTGAAGGGAGAAAGGAAGTGTGTTTTGGAAGTCAGGGGGAGAGGTTCAAGAGTGAGGATATGCAAATCTGTGAGAAGTATCCCTCTACAGCAACACACAGCATCCACCATGGTTCTAAGGCTCCCAGTTTCCCCAACCCCAGTTATCTGGTCCCCAAAAGACCACTCCTTGGCAACAAGATCTAGTGCACTCAAAGCCCTGAAAGCAGAATAAATAGGTTTACTGAACTCCTGTAGCTCCACTGGCCAGGCAGAACCACAAGTGAAGGCAGCTAAGGGGAAACGGTGGAGAATCCCAGTTTTCAGAGGGTTAAGACAGGATAACTCTAGTTTTAAATCAACAGTACATTTGTAGGGAAAATATGCTGTGGGTTCAGCCTGGATGGAAAGTAAGATCTAGACTCCAATTGTCAGCTAAACAGGACCTTTCTTTAGGTGCTGCAATGCCAATGTGACACAATACCAGCAAGCAGTTGTGGGGTGGCACACCAAATATGAAAAAGCACGGGGCAAAAAGTAATTTCTAAAATGTGTAAAATGTTATTAGAATGGGAAACAAAAGATGAACTGGTAAAATCAGCAATGATACACTGGGCAAGGGATATAGGTCACAATACTGAAATGTCACCATGGGAGAAATTATGGATTACAGATACGACATTTACAGCATATAATACATTAAAGGAGACCTATATGAAAATGATGTATATTATTTGACTATGTAGAATTGGCAAAGATGACAGGAAAAAATGGGAACCAGACAGACCAAAAGTTCAACAAAGAATGCGATATATACAGATTATATTTAAAAGAACATTGTTCCCATATGAAATCTTTGACATGCTTTGATTAACTTCTGCAGTGTCATATGCTACAAAGGTTACAGATAATTTACGATAAGTTAAATGTCATACAATATGCAGTCAATAAGGGACCCACGCTGAGGAAGATGGAAGTCTTAACCTATGAAAGAACTTTATTTTATATGTAATATTTTCTTTGTATTTGATGTGTTTTGTATTTTCTTATTTTCTTTTTGTGGTGAATGGATGCAATATTTAAAAATCAATAAAGATTAAATTGGAAAGACAAAAAAGGAAAAAGGAAGAAAAGAAAATGATGTATAGATGGTATGTAACTCCTAGTAAACTGGCTAAGATGTATAAAACCGAATTAGATACGTGCTGGAAATGTAAGGAAGAGGGGGGTTACCTTTTACCATATGTGGTGGTCATGTAAGATAGTGAAAGCTTTTTGGGAAATGATTTATAATGAACTGGGTAAAAAAATGATGAAGGTATCTTTTATAAAAAGACCAGAAGCTTTTCTTTTGGGAATAATAGGTCAAGAGGTACCAAAAGATCAGGAAAAAAAGTTTATGTATGCAGTGACACCTGCCAGGAAGATTTATGTGCAGAAATGAAGAGAAGAAACAGTTCCAACCCACAAGAACTGGCCGATAAAACTGACGGAGGATGCGGAAAAGGTTAAACTCACAGGAGGAATAAGGAACCAGGAAAAAAGAATTTGTAACAAAGACTGGGGAAAATTTATTTACAATCTGAAAAGTTATTGTAAGCAACTTAAAATGTTAGCAGGTTTAATGTAAAATGAGCAGCAAATTAAACTTAAGGAAATTTTAGAGATAATAAATAATTAAGGAATTATTGTGGATACGCAGTAGTAGAGATAAAATGGAAGGAACCACAGATGGAGAAAAAGTCGATTTGATGCTATTTTTGGTTTTGTTAACTTGTATGTTTTGTTGTAAAATGGAAAATGATAAATAAATTTATTTATTTTTAATGAAAAAGCACAGGACATCTGTGTCCATACATGTCCTTCTACTGGTTTAATCACAACGCACAATATTTTTCTTATTTTCCCCTCCTTCCCTTGTCCTCAACAGTTATAGCAATAGCTCCTGCCTACATGTTGTTCCATCCTACTTTCATGGTTCCCACAACCTTTTCCTTGCCAGGGGAGGGGGGATTTAACCTCACCCCACTTCCGGCTACATTTCTGCTCAGAATTGTATGCCCTCTCAATTTCAGTGTGGCTGCCAACAGTCATGGTTTTGAGATTGCCTTGGATCTGGGCCAACCCCTTAAATATATAAATATATGTAGGAAATGATTGCGTTTTGGGTTTGGGGACCAAAGTGGAGTCAAGCTGCCCCCAGATTCTGGCCCCTGCAGAGCTCTGGCTTCCTCATGCTGGGTTTCTTGCATTATCTCTTTCTCAACATGAGGCTACAGAGTGTATTGTACCGATAAACCTCTATGTGCTCCTCCTCCGCATGTTGCTAGACTCCAACTCCAATCAGCCAACCAAGCCAATGGTCAGGAATGATGAGAACTGGAGTCCCAACAACATCAGGATGGCACCACATTGGCTAAGAGGGCGAGGGAATCAAATTGGCTCCAAGCCAAAGGCCGGGTGGAACAACTCTGTCTTACAGGCCCTGCGGAAAGAAATCAGATCCTGCAGGGCCCTGGTCTCATGAGGCAGAGCGTTCCACCAGGCCAGAGCCAGTGTTGAAAAGGCCCTGGCTCTGGTTGAGGCTAATCTAACTTCCTTTGGGCCCAGGACCTCTAGGGTGTTGCTATTTATGGACCTTGAGGACCTCTGTGGGGCAGACCGGGAGATCACACTCAACTCAGACTTGGAGAATGAGGGGACAACATGGCTCACTAGAAGCACAGCTGAGGACACACCATAGGAGTCCAGAGTTCAAAGCACAAATGTACAAATCCCTCAATTTCTCAATTTTCCAATATTCAATTCACCCCACTTCCACAATTCAATTTAAGCAAAGAACCAAAAACCTCTGCACAGAAATGTGTGTGCATTTTTGGAGTGCATTTCTCCCAATACATACATGTTAATGCACTTTTGCCAAATATTAGAGATGGGGAAGAAATTCACTTGGTTTGCATTTTAATGCAAACCTAACCTAACCAATTGGTATCTCTTGCACCAATACACATATCAAAGTGCAATTAATGTATCTTTTGATATTTGCACTTCTCCAAATTCTGGGTGCAGTTCTCCAACCCACAAATGTATACAA